GCCTCAGAAACCCAAGGAGGGGTCGCTATGAGTCGGGTCTGACTCGACAGCACACAACAACATACGTCGTCTGATGTCCTGACTGCTGCTTCCATTGGCGTCAATTGTAGAACCAAGCAATGTGAAGTCTTTGACAATTTCAATCTTTTCTCCATTTATCGTTATGCTGATCAGCCCAGTTGTGAGGATTTTTGTTTTCTTTATATTGAGATGTAATCCATACTGAAGACCGTATTCTTCAATCTTCATCAGTAAATACTTCAAGTCATCCTCACTTTCAGCAAGCAAAGTTGTGTCGTTAGTATACTGCAGGTTGTTCATGATTCTTCCTCCAATTCTAATGCCACATTCTTCTTCATATAGTCCAGCTTCTTGGATTATTTGTTCAGCATATAGATTGAATAAGTATGGGGAAAGGATACAACGCTGACTCACTCCCTTCTTGATTTTAAACCGTGCAGTGTCCCCTTGTTCTGTTTGAATGACAGCCTCCTGATCTATGTACAGGTTCCTCATGAGTACAATTAAGTGTTCTGAATTCCCATTCTTCTCAATGTTATCTACAATTTGTTATGATCCAGACAATCAATGCTTTTGCATAGTCAATAAAACACAAATAAACATCCTTCTGGTATTCTTTACTCAGAGCCAAGATCCATCTGAAATCAGCAATGATATCCCTCGTTCCATGTCCTCTTCTGAATCCAGCCTGCACCTCTGGAAGTTCTTTGTCAATATAGTGCTGCAAACATTTTTGAATTATCTTCAGCAAGATTTTACTTGCATGTGATATTAATGGTATTATTTGATAATTCCCACGTTCTGTGGGACCACCTTTCTTTGGAATGGGTACAAATATGGATCTCTTCCAGTCAGTTGCCCAGGTAGCTGTCCTCCAAATCTCTTGGCATGACCAAGTGAGTGCCTCAAGTGGGGCATCCGTATGTTGAAACATCTCAATGGGTATTCTGTCAGTTCTTGGAGGCTTGTTCCTCACTAATTCCCTCAGCACAGCTTCTACCTCTTCCCTTAATACCATTGGCTCTTGAACATATGCCACCTCCTGAAATGGATTAAGATCAACCAGTTCTTTTTGGTACAGTGACTCTGTGTATTCCTTCCAGATTCTTGGGACTTAAGAACATGTTCTGCTTTCCAGCAACCCCAAGGACACCCCGGACCTGCAAGACTAAGAAGTTTTTTGATGGTTATTCAATTGTAATTTGTGTCTAACTGAGTAGGAGACAACAACAGTCCCCATAAGACACAACTACACCCACATCTCCTGCAACTTCACTTACTGAGCAAGAGCCACTACCTTCTTCTCCACCAACGGGCCAATGAT